TATATCAAATTTTGTTAAAATTGAACAACAATTTGAAGGTAATTCAAGTGTTCATATTTTAATGTATTTTGAAATGAATATATTGTAACAACCCAATTTTCACTGGGCCTTGGGCCCAATTCATTACCCGGAACGGGCCGTTTCAAAAGAGAAACGGGCCGGTCCGGAATAAAGAATTTGCCTAAAACGTAGTTGAGAACGGGCCGTTCCGGTTGGAGAACGGGCCGTTCTGGTTTGGAGAACGGGCCATTCTGAAACTAGAACGGGCCGTTCTGCTGGGATTGAGAACAAGCCGTTCTGGTTTTAGAACGGGCCGTTCCAGTTGAGAAATCTATGGCAAATTAGTTGGATCACATGATAATGCCTATTGAGGTATAGAAGGGCCCAAGAGAAAAAAGCATAAGATGGCTCAAAATTTGTTTAACAAGATTATGAGGTGTAAGATAATGCCAGACACCTAGACAAGTACTTCAATCCTTATATACAACAAATCCCTATATACAAGAACAAGAATGAAATACAGAAGTTCAAAAATTATAGAATTACATGGTCATACTGTGAAGCTATATGGAGGACTGTAATTGAGTGAAGATCAAGACTAGAGACTTGATTAATTTGGTTTAAGGTTGAATAGGTCAACCAGGAAATGGAAACATATACTTGCTAGAAAGTTTAATAGAGATATTGGAGGAATAAAAAAAAATCCAGGTAGCTATCATCAATTTAGAAAAGGTGTACAATAGGATGTCAGGAGATTACAAAGGCTCTAGACTCTAGAGAAGGTGTTCATAACTTAGCATTGTAGCCTATACGTGTGCAATGAAATGTGTGTAGCATGGAGTCACAACTAGTGAGAACACAACGTGGGGTCACAGACGAATTTTTATACTATTGGACTACAGGAAAGGTCAACATTGAGCTCCCTACTTTACAAATTGGTCTTGCATGGGCTTACTGATCATATCAGAGAGTTGGTGGCACTGCACCACAGCCACTTTTGCACCAAAATAGTGGGGTTTGGTAACAGTAGTGTGTTAAGTGTAACAGGGTGTTAAATGCTTTACTTCCCCTCAAAACTATCATTTAGGGTGTTTTAGGGGAGAAATATTACAATTTTCCCCCACCCATTCATTGAATCAAGGGGTTAAAAATGAAACCCTTGTTTTTGCAATCTCAATTGCACACCATCTCTTTCGATGAACCACACTACACCCATCATTATCTGTCTCTCAAGCACTTCCCAGTGACATGGTGGTTTTCAGCTAACCTGTGACTATTTAATCCCTCAATGATCTATGTTGTCCTCTTTAGTCTGTTCCCATGACTTTGCTCTGTTTTGTTCTCTGTTTGAGACTCTTCTGGCCTTTCTTCTTCTTTGTTCTCTATTCTCTTTTGAATTATGAACAATTTTTTATTTTCAGTTTGGATTTTCAGCATATATACACGAACAATATTAAATATGTAATTATTTAATTTGTATAAAAAAATAGCAACCATCGCACAAGCCACAGTAACGATTAACAGCATGCTTGGGTTGGAGTTGAACTCCCAGAAACCCACATTAAACCTAAAGCAACTCTCCCCTTGCTTCAACACTTTTTGCTTTGGAAAGTGGGAAATGGCATTTGTTTTGTTTGAAACACATTCCCAAACATGCACTATGTATTCAGCCACTGCATCAATATTTTGGACTCATAACTATGCTTTTGTTAAGTTGAGATTCTATGGCAAATTAATTGGATCACATGATAATGCCTATTGAGGTATAGAAGGGCCTAAGAGAAAAAAGCATAAGATGGCTCAAAATTTGTTTAACAAGATTATGAGGTGTAAGATAATGCCAGACACCTAGACAAGTACTTCAATCCTTATATACAACAAATCCCTATATACAAGAACAAGAATGAAATACAGAAGTTCAAAAATTATAGAATTACATGGTCATACTGTGAAGCTATATGGAGGACTGTAATTGAGTGAAGATCAAGACTAGAGACTTGATTAATTTGGTTTAAGGTTGAATAGGTCAACCAGGAAATGGAAACATATACTTGCTAGAAAGTTTAATAGAGATATTGCATCTTTTGTTTTATAAAAATGAAGTATAAAATCATCTTGGATTAATATAAATATTTGTATATATGATCTAAGACATAAGAAATTTTAATCTAACGGTTGAATTTATAAAATTTACATTTAATATAAAATTATTGAGTAGTGTAATACTCAGTAAAAGTTACACCGGTATTATTATAACCCCTCTCATATATATATATAATATTATATTTGTATGATTATTTTATGAAATGACTAGTGAATAATAATATTTTTTTGAAATTTCATTATCATGTATGTTTATTTTGAGTAGAAAAAACGAGAAATTCTATTATTTTTTTAATTAGTAAAATATTTAATTTATATATAAAAAAATTAATGTGGCATCCCCAAATCTTTTA